CGAGCAAAAGATCTATCCAGCTGTTCACTGCATCTAGCCCGGATCCAGCAAACAGCCCTCCAATAAATGCATAGAATAGATTATTCGTTTCCTAGTGAAAAAGAATGCGTAAACTTGGAATCAGCATGGCGAACTAGTGTGAGCTGCTCACCTCTGGTGTCGTTAACTTTTCACGAATATCTGGAGCACATCGGACCCTATCCCGTAGTTTGTACGCTGTTACCCAGGTGTCGATGTACGAGTCGGACATGATTTCCTCAATGAGTTGCTGGAGGGACCTGTGGTAAGATTCAATCCGCCAACAAAAGAGTAGGACTGCTTTCGAAAACGCACGGTGATTTCGTCTCTAGTCTTCATTGGTTTCCTTCTAAACAGTACATTGGTAACAGCGGCATAAAATATCTTCTCTCCCAATACCGAAAGCCTCTCGCTGTCTTTGAATTCCTCTGGGGAAACATCGTCCGATCGACGAAGTGACTTGTGCGTATACACTTGAAGAATGTAGTCCGACGGTATCTTGGGTAGAGGAGGTAGCTCAACAGGAGGCGGCGAGGGTCCATTTTCCGCAGCACCTCTTGTATGCGATGGGGAATTGGGTACTTCTGGCCGTGCTCGTTTAAGGTTTAAACTCGAGGTGAAATTATTGTTGGTAACGTTGAGATTCGAGGTCATCTTTCTTGCTATGAACGGGAAAGAGAATTTTCGGGGGCGGAGTCACCGAGGAAGGTGGTCGAAAGCATCAATATTTCGACTCAGAGTCATGCGTGGGACTGACAGTGACTCTGACGCCTGTGCGGTGCATGATGATGGCATAAACAAAACAGTGAAATTGCCGTCGACACAAATTCTATGCGAAATATACATCTTTTCTATTCACTTTCATTCATTTCCTTCAGTCCAAGTTCCGTCCAAGGTCCTATGTTCATCATCGTTCACCACACGAAATAGTCACTGCTCGCCGAAACTTGTCCTAAATTTCTCCGCCTTCTGCCAGCGTTTTGCTAACGTGGCCCTTCCAGCATCCCGACTTGAATAAATACCGGGGGATCCATCTATCACAGGCCCAGTCCTCGTCAAAATTCCCCTTCAAAAATGGCGGTGACCCCTTCAGGTTACAGTGTCGCCAAACTCCTCTTTCTGGGGCTCGTCTTCCATTTGGTTTTCATATTCTCCGTATTCGATTGTTATTTCACGAGCCCAGTGGTGCATGGCATGGAAAGATTCAATGCAGGACCCCCTGAAGCGAAGAGACTTGTGTTGATTATTGGTTCGTAGCAGAAGCTTGCTCTCCTTCGTGTTTCTGAACAGCCTGTCTATAGGTGATGGTCTCCGCGCCGACTTGCTCTTCCAGAAGAACGGATTTCCGCATTTCCCTGGATCACCCAAAGTTGTGGCTCCACATCTACGCTCTATCGCGGAGTCGAGAGGCGCCTTCGGAATCTCACATACCCATGTCCCAACTGAGAGTCGTCCAGGTCATGTTGCAATTATTGGTATGTCGCGTCGAATATATTGTCATGAACACGCGTTTATTCGTGTCGAATCCAGGTGGAATGTATGAGGATGTGTCTGCTGTAACGAGGGTATGAAGTGTTTTGTCGATTCACTGAATCATTCCTGATCTCCGTGTCTACAGGGATGGAAGGTCAACCCAGTAAGTTACGCAACTCGCTTGAGTTCTGTATGGTCTTGACCATTGCTGGTTCAGGTAAACTTTGATTCCATCTTCAACCAATCTAGCCATACCTTTGCATTTGGTTCTCCCGATATAATACCTATGTTCCAGCAAGGCGCAACGCCTGACAAAGTAAAGGGATGGACGTATAACGAAGAAGATGAGGATTTTACCAAAGGTTAGTTGGGTCGAGTTAGTCAAGCATGCGTCAAATCTGAATACTGTACAGATGCCACCGCACTGGACACTTGGGTATTGGATAACTTCAAGACTTTATTGAAGAACGCAACTACAGACCCTGTTCTAGACTCACAGCTACGAGAAGAGAAAGTTATTATTTTCTTGCATCTTTTGGGACTCGATACCACCGGACATTCATACAGGCCGCATTCAAAGGTAAGACATGTCACCTCCGTTTGCACGCGAGTCACTCAATCTTGACACAGGAATACATGAGAAACATTCAAGTAGTGGACAAAATCGTTAAGGAGACAGAGGAGCTTATTTCGGACTTTTATAAAGACCAACTAACAAGCTACATATTCACCGCCGACCATGGCATGTCTGTCATTGGAAACCACGGCGATGGAAGTGAGTATCTATACTTGGTCAAATTATCAGGTTTCTAAACCCTGCACACAGATCCAGATAGCACCCGTACACCATTCATTGCATGGGGACGAGGTCTTCGAGGTCCCCTTACCAATCCTACTCCGTCATCTCATGACTCGTACTCGAAGCCTTGGGATCTAAACAGCAATTACAGACGCGATATGGAGCAAGCTGACATTACTCCGTTAATGGCCACCCTTCTCGGCGTTGACTGGCCCGTCAACTCTGTCGGTGTTCTACCAGATGTAGATCCAAGAAAGCCGGCGTTCTTAGCACCTCGTCATGGAGTTAGAAAAATTGCAGAGGCCGGGATAACCAACGCCAAGGTTTGTGAGCACGAGCTTTGATGATGTTCGTCGTCTAAAAATAACTGTTTAGATGATCTTGGAACATTATCGCGTTAAGCACGGTATGTTAGACACTTGGTTCATGCTCATATCTCGCTAATTGCGTTTGACTGCCCTTAGACCTAATGAAAGCGAAGAAACACCTCTACAAACCATTCCCAGAGTTGGAGAACAATGGTCCAAACTCGACCGAACCGCTTCGCATCGCCGCCCTCAAGGAAATCGAGAAACAAATTGATGCTGGGAACATGTATGTTGCACGAATGCAGACTTTGGCGTTGATCCAGAAGGGATTGAGGGGTATTCGATATCTGGAAACCTATGAACGCACCCTCGTCCAGACCATCGCCGCCTTTGCATATACTGGTTGGGCAGCGTACGCTTCGTTATACGTGTTCCGACCGCTGGACATCAAGAGTAACGCCAAAAATTACAAGGATTCAGGATTCACCACTGCCGTGCATTCACTGAGTTTCTTGATCTTCTCCATTTTCTCCGGAATGTTTGCTTTGGAGAAAGCAAATTGGACGTACTACCTGTATATTGCTTTCCCCTGCTACTTCTGGGATCAGTTCATCAGCCAGGCAGGGCAGCCGTTGTTGGCTGCTGTCAAGAAGAACCAGTTGGGTATCACACCTGGCAGTCTTCTTCTCAGGGTGACTTTGGTAGCTGGAACACTTGTGTCGATGGTGGTATGTACTGTTATATTATTGATTCCCGTGAACCTTTCTCTAACGAGCGAGTAGTTCGGTTACATGCACCGCTCGATATGGAGCTTAGGTCTTGCCTTTATGGGTATCTTTTGGCCACGAGCCACCTGGCCTCGAGAGGCAAGGGAGAAGCTAGGAATTCGGTCGACGTTGTGGACGTTGTCATGTCTGGCGACCGCTGTGTTCCCATTCCTGGAAGTCAATAAGGAGGAAAGTGTACCTGTCATGTGGGTCTTTTTTTACACCATATCTGCTCGTCTCATTCAACAAAAAACGTTCTTAGAACGGCAGGAGGTTTAACACTTGCGGGGATTGGAGCTCTGCAGGCATATCGTATTGTGCAGCGACCTGGCACCAATGAGGCATTGAAGAAGTTGTACGCCGTACAGGTACGCGTAAAACACTCATAACCTATTCCTTTTCTTACGTCGACCGTAGTTGTTATTGACGGTGGCTATGGTCTTTACCACAAGAGCATCAGCTCTCAGTTTGCAAGCAAAGGCAGGCTTGCCTCTGGTATCACAGGCCCTGGGATGGATTCTTCTCGGTGAGTAACCCAGTACTTGTTGAGCCTTCAATGCTGAATAGACGATCAAGTGTCTTCTTCCGTGCTTCCTTTCGCGGCCCCCATAAAGCATGAAAGTGCGGACTCTAAATTCCTCATGCATTTCCTTGGTCTTGGCCCCCTTTTCATCATTCTGTCCATTAGCGATGAGATTCTTTTCTTCGTATCGTACTCGATTACGCTCTACCTATGGACAGAGGTGGAGAAATCTCTGGCGGAGACCACCCGGGATTTAAAGGGCACACAGAGCCTATCGACGTATCGTTTCAAAACCGATGACGTACGGATAGTACTATTCTTCCTGTTTTTCGTACAGGTTGCCTTCTTTGGGACCGGAAAGTGAGTCACTGTCCTTATCCAGAGTTGAACAGCGTTGATTGACGAACGTGCTTAGTGTTGCCTCGATATCGTAAGTAGCATTCAAATCTTTAGGAGGACAGACGCTCACGTTGTGATATTTCGTACAGGTCCTTCTACCTAGCCCCTGTCTACAGGCTGATTCCGGTGTTCCATCCATTCTTCATGGCAGTGCCACTGGTTTGTCTACATCACGCACACACTCAGGGCTATACTGATCATCGCACAGGTCTGCAAAATCACCGCGCCATATGTTATGTTGTCTTTGGCCATCGCTTCTGTGACGCATTCGTTGAAGCTACCTCCTTTCTCGCTCTTCCAGTTAGCGTTGATGTTGACGGATGGTACTCGTTCACTAAACTAAATCCGTGTCCGCACACTGATGGCTATTGTAGGCATGACCCTGACATTCTTTTTCAAAGTACGAGACACTGGTGAGATCTATCAAGATTCTACTAGTGAATGTGGTATTAAACCCTGTGTAGGGTCGTGGCTGGAAATCGGTCAAACCATCAGTTTCTTTGTAATAACGTCGTTGCTGCTGTTATGGTCTGGCGGCGTATGTGCAGCAGGGGAGTATTTGATGGCAGATGTATTCTCTCTTTCTAAACAGAAGCAGAAGGCGTGAGGAGGCCGCCGGTGAAATGTATAATGTATCTATAGGTTTTTTGTGTTGAACAAGTAGGGCATTGCTCTCCAGGAGGAGAATCTAAAATCAAAACCCTTTTAACAGGTCCATCATGGTGTAGTGGCTAACATTATCGCCTCTCATTTGTTGACATCGCGATAGCCCAGGGTTCGATTCCCTGTGATGGAATGTTTTAGTTCTTCCCGTCAGATTCCTTTCCTTTCGATTAGCATGCATTTTTTCTTCATATTATTGACCCATGAATATCATGGCTCAAAGTTCCAAGAACTTGGCATACAAAAATTGCGTGAATTAATTATTCGACAATTGACCGATTGGCGCTTAGCGCCCGTCGCCTGTGCCTTTAGCTCTTGACCATGACGTCTCTGTTGACTAGGGATACCCCTTCTCTTCTTATTATAAGTCTCAAGCCCTTTTTCGATATTCCATCACACGGCCTGTGCACAAACGCTTAAACAGCAGGTTTTCCTGATCACCCAGGATGCTACAACGTGTTTTCAATGGAGCGGCAATGCATCCTTGCATGCCGGCGCACTTTGCGACGCAAGGAAGAGGCGTGGATCAAGTCTATATGTACGTCGTTAGCGATTATCCACCCTGCATCCCCCTTCATCTCGACGCCTATCTGAGTCGTCGGGCGGTTGTACTGATTCTTGAGCACTATCAAGGATACACATGACATCCGTGAGCAGGACTAACGGAGCCCAACCGAGACTGCGAAAACCTCAGCCCAACAGCAGACACCCCGCCATTGGTTCCATGCACTGGCTATTTCGCACCAATATTCCTCGGCGGAGAGCTTCGTACATTCAGCCTGACATCAGGCGACGAAACTTCTTTGGGGTGGGGGAGATTATTGGGGTCCTGACGAATGTGAGTCGTCAAAAATTGAATGGCCACGTTTTCATTTTATCTAACAATATTTATATTCGCTTAGCCAGCAGAAACTGTACGCTCCTTGGCTGAATCCAAACGTTTACTAGAAGAAGCACGGCGAGAAATTAACGATACCCGAGAACGAGCTCAAATCAGGCCAAAACACACCTTTTCTCCACTGCCCAATTTTCTTCCTCGGGATGCGGAAATCAAGGCAATAGAACGAGCATTGGACACTGGAGAGCCTGCTTTCACCGTTCTGTTCGGTGCTAGCTCCGTAGGGAAGGTATGTCTCAACTCCTGTTTGAATCTGCATGCCCTCAACTCCAACAGACGGCACTTCTTCGAGAGGTGCTTTGTCGCGACAAATACCACGTGTTGCATTTCGACCTACGGATTGCGGGCTTTGCGGACCTTGCTAGTTTGTACACCAGCTTGTGTCAGCAAATGGAACAATACTTTGAGGAAATCGCCAAACAAGAAGGTTTTGAAGAGTTCGAGAAGGAGTCTTGGAGTTTCAAGGTCCGTCTCATTTAGGAGTAGAGTATGAAGTGTCTCATCATTGGCCGCAGCACGATCGGCTTAACGTCGAGAAACGCCTCCAAGATTCCCAGCCAGAGTCTGGCGTCCAACAAATCAAGACCAGTGACATTGCAAGGCTGATGGAACTGTTTCAGGTAGACTTTTTTTCTTTACTGTCTCCCAGTGATTGACCCCAGATTCGACAGAGTTCGCTCTTGAAATATCGCGAATTTGAACCAAAAACAAGCGAAAGAAGGAACCGGAGTGACAGTTCTGACGCCAACTCTGATCAAACGCATGTCAATGGCAATGCACCAAACGCCCCATCTAAAAAGAAATGGCGATTTCGCAATCTTATGAAAAGCGATCGGAAGAAGAGTAACGGGCGCTCTTCGGACGGGCAACCTGAAAATAGAAATGAGAACGACAATCGAAGCGAAGATAGAGTTAGTACTAAGAAAATGCCCGTAGGTTGATTTACTTGATAATAGACGCTATGCTCACTGTAGCCGTTTGACAGGTTATCTTCTTCGACGAGGCACACAAGCTGTAGGTTGCATAATCAGCGGTCGTTGGAAGTGGCGCGCTCATGATTTCCCTTAGCCCAGCGCTGATTCAATCGACAGAGGCGATGAACTGTCTGCTCAGTACTTTCCTTGTCCTCACAAAACAGGATAGATTGTGCCATGTCATACATGCAACTAGTGACCCGTTCTACCATACATGGCTCAGGCAGCTGAACGTCATGCAGCATTGCAAAGTGTGTCCATCGCTTTGAATTCAACTTCCGGGGCAGTTATATTGATTATTCCCTCAGATTATAACTATTGGAGACTGTTCGAAATCCGAGACCAGGGCCTTCTTCCGCGAACGACTTATCCCTACGGTACCGGATCACCTACGGCCTGGATTGAGCTTTGAAAGGCTTTATGAAGCATTCGGTGGAAAACTCGTTCACTGGCAGGACTATGTTACGGACTATGGTACGTTTATCCTTGTAAGGTCTTACTGCCAGTGCTGATTTAACTTATTGTAGTAAACACTAATGGTACGCTAGAAAGTACGTATCTGCCATCATGCACAAGGGATATGGCTAAAATTGACCTTCAATAGTCAAGCAAAGCTCGCACTTCCTTCAGGCAGTATGTTTTCTTTGTTATATCTTAACATGCATTTTTTTCTCATCTCAAGAGTGTAGCACGCACTTCTCAACCTTCAGATTATTCACGCTTCACAAGCGCCGAATCTCGAGCAAGACTCGCCCCAGACAAACCACGCCAGCGAACCACCAGCGGCCTCTACGTCCGGCTTTCGCATCTACTCTCCGATAACCAATCCTCACGGACCCTTTGGATCGGTGACGAGCTCTACTTCAGCACCGTCCGAACCACCAGAATTCACTGCAATGCAGCTGCTCAAAGTGATGTCCAGAATCACACAAACCGGCGTCGACTATATCCCATACTTCATGCTTTGCCGAGAATTTGGGGTGAAGGCCGTCGACGGGATGGTCAAAGCGCGTGTGCTGGACTTAAGGTGGACGGAGATCGTTAAGGGAGAGGAAGTACCTCAACCCGAAGACATGGAGATCCGGGATTCAATGGCAATCGGAGACGGCGTCAGGCTTGTTTACAGCCCCGGACCGGGTGACTCTCGTCCAGGGAGTGTGCCAGGATACATGAACGACCCAATGGCAGGGAGCAGTGCAACAGCGGTAGAAGAAATGTTTGGTGTGAGGCCTCCGCCTCCAATGTCACCTCCCCCTGCAGAGTCCGACGAGGAGCTAGTGGCAATTTCTGAGCGTGAAGCCATGATGGAGTCATTGAGGCGTCGACCGTCACAGCGTGACCCACCTCCCAATCCCTACAACGATTATCCTCAACGACCAACACGCTATCCTGCTCGCCGCTCTACGTACCACCCCCAGTCACAATACAACGACCCCTACGCATCACTTATGGAGGTAGTCGGGCCAAAGCTGGTGCCCACAACTCCGATAATGAGGTATGCAATGAGGGAAGTTGTTTCCGAGTATCAGGAAGATGACGATGACGTCGAGGATGTGGATATGGATGAGGATGGAGCCATCCGTAGAGAAGGCGAAGGAGGAAGACGGAGAACTAGAACTGCCACGGACGGAGACTCTGAATATGCAAGTTTGTCGGATGTGGATGAGTACTGATTTTATTTATTCCCCTTTCTAATTTTCTTTCGACGTTGCATGCCTTTATTTCCTCGCTACTTATATTCAACACACGTCAATGTATCCCAAGTTTTACGCTCGTTTTGCACGATATGTATTCTACTTATAGTATAGTGTAGATCGTCTTTCCTAATAGTAAGTACCTACGGCCCTAAAGGCCTTCAACACGAGCGCAACCCCCTCTGTTGCTTTACTGCTCCAACCCATCTAGACCGGCGTATCTGATGTCCGCGTTGTCATCTAACCACTTCATCCACTTCTTGAGATACTTTCCTCCGTAGGAAATTGTTGATGAATCGCCAACGATACACTACGTTTGTGAGTTAGTCACAAAAAGGTATAACCTTTGGGGTGACTCACCAAGCTTCTCTTTGCACGCGTCATCGCCACGTTCAATCTCCTCTTTTCCTTCAAAAAACCAACCTCTCGTGTAGGATTACTTCTCACGAGGCTAATAATGACTGCTTCCTTCTCACGGCCCTGCATGCCATCGACTGATCCAATTTCAATTTCAGGGTACGTTGGGTGGAGGAGTGAGGATATGTGTGCCACTTGGGCTTGATAACTAACCAGAAATGAGGAATAGAAACCCGAATTAACCGTTGCATTTGATCACTTACGGGGTTATAATGGCGACTTGGGTAGGTTTGATCCCATTACTGATCTATGTGGTTCTTATGAGCGCAACAGACAGGGGATTGCATGTAAAACGTACCAGATCCTCGACCCACGATTTGACGACCAAGGCCTCGTTCTCATTCCATCGACTGCCTCCCTCTTCTGGGTCGATCTTTAATTGGCCCTTCTTTTTGCCACCATCAAGTCCATCGCTTATTCCTTCGACTTTCTCGTAGTACTCACACCCAGCAGTGTCGTAGAATATCACTGGAATGCTCAAATCTTCCTCTTTTTTAACGTCTGGCAGATCAGAAAGTAGATGGGAGGCGACAGAAGAATGCGAAATGAGCTTATTTGCGTATAACGCAAGGGAAGGGAAGGTGCATATCTGCGCGTGCATCCTGGATGATTGCTCAGCATCAGATCGAGTAAATTGACTATCAAACGCACCGATATTGAACATCCAACATGCGTTTGATACCTGGTCCCCACATTTCCTCCAGACGATCGAAGAGAGTCGTTTCGAGGGTTCGTGGTGGACGAAGCACGCCAGTACCGGCCTTTTCTTTGCCTTTACTTGTCCCTTTCTGGTTCGTATTTTTCTTTGGTTCCTCCTCACTTTCGTCGTCTTCGTCTTCGTCCTCGTCCTCGTTACTGTCTCCCACTACTACGGGGGCGGCACTCTTCGAGGTCTTCTCTGGTCGCTTCCTCTCTTTCGACCCACGCTTCTCCCTGTCTTTCTTCTTCATACCATCAGCTAAAACAGTGGGCGGAAGTTGCATGGGATCTCCGGCTAGGATTAATTTAGTGGCCCTCTTGAAACCAGCTTGAAAGATTGGTATCAGTGTGACGGCCTCCAAAGCCTGCGTTGCTTCATCTATGATCACAACATCGAATTCCTCCTTCTCTAATTGTCTAGAACCGGCAGAATGACAGGTGGCAAAGACGA